GAGATGAGCTGAGTTGAAACTACATGAACCAAACAGGGCAAACTAATGCCAGTGCAAATGGGACAAGCATTGGTTTGCTTTACATATAGTCTTGTAAACAGTAACTGTGTTACCAGGGCAACAAGGGATGAGAGGGGTTCAGGGGAGTAAATAGGAAAAAAAAAAGGAAAGACGTGAAGAGCAGACGTGGGTAGAGATGAACAGAAACTGCAGAATAACGAGGACGACAAACTAAGATATGAACAGGATGAGAACGAGAGAAAAAAGAATAAGGGACAAGGAGCAGATATGAGGAGATGGATGAAGAGGAACAAGAGGAAGAGGAGCGTGGGATTGCAAAAAATAATAAAGAAAGTGACGAGTCTATGAAGAGCGTGAAAGGGACAGGACACGTGGCGATAAAAGGAGGAGTGCCTGGTACTTTGAAAGCAAAAGTGTGAGGAGAGGGAGGTTGTTTTACCTGTTTGTTGAGTCCTAACATGTTGCACACCATCTCTCTTGAGTACGGCTGTTCTAGCACATAACGCAGCAAGCCTGTCTGTGGCTCAAACAGGTCCTAGATACACAAAATAAAATAAAAACACATACCAATCAACTGTTCTGAGAATGTGTGTAGGTGTGTGAAGTGTGTGAATGAACAGATGTTACCTTGTCAAAAGGCAACATGCCTTTCAGCGGGAAGCAAAGAGTAGTCGGGTCTAATTTCCAGGAGTTACAGATGGCCCCACTATTATTCACTACTGGCAACAGGCTGCATCGTCCTGCGGGCACACACATTCACACACCACAAGGAAGTGAAGTGAAGCAGCCGAAATCTTTATTTGTGTTTCTTTAAAGTCGTTAGCGTTTTGTAAGCTTCATGTGTCTCGTACCACAGATGGAGTTGATTCTGGCAGTGGGTCTGAAACTGTCCACAAAGTCTGATATCAGACTGCCAAGAAGCTACAAATGAGACACACACACACAGAGAGAGAGAAAAGGTATGGACAGAAAATAAATTAAGAGTGTTAGTGACACACATAAGTAGCTGCACACATGCACACAACCAACAAGAACCACACACTTACCCAGTGTGAGAGCTGTCCCTCTGGATACAGTTTTCTGATTTCTGTTATAGAAAAGTAGGCTGGCAGGAGGCAGGCGTTTCTGTCCAGGATATACTCTACAACCTTAAAGAATAAAACGCTGAAGTGATGCAGTTGGCCTGTTTACAGAAAACTTCTAATGAGTCGTTACACAAAAATATTACGATGAATTATATTTTCAAAAGTAAAAGATGGAATGACAGGTACCTCTCTGGCAGCCAGAAGCTGCTTGACGATAGCTGAGCTCACAGTAGTTGGAATGGTCTGAATTTTTTCCAGAAAAGTTTTCAGGAGGTCACGAACACCCTGAAATCCACAAACACCTGAGATTATAACATGTTCAGTGATTTAGGGCTTCGGTTTTTGCAGCTGTCTGTTTGGAAAGAGTTACACCCAAAGAGCATTTTTCAAGATGCTGGATAAAGACACTGAGTCTCAAGAAACATTGGTTTACATCAGGGAAATTGTGATTAATTTGTTACAGCTTAAAACACGACATGTTTGACATGGACAGGAATTTCCAGCTGGAAACCCAATCACTGTGTCAACAACACTCTCCACATAGAGTCAATAAACGCTATTGTATCTGGCGAGAGAGTAAAAGTAAGTATGACCTCCAGTTGACATCAGCAGATGATTTCATTAACTACAGCTACAAAACAACTGATGATGTAATAATATCATAATAAACAGATCAAAGTAAAAAGAATTATGCTGAGATTACAAAAGGAACATTGTATTAAAGGACGTCATCGCTGACTTGGCTGCTGACTTGTTTGAACTGTGCTTGTGTGTATGTGTGTGTGTGTGTGTGTGTGTGTGTGTGTCAGAGACCTTGTAGTCCACCCCTCCGATGATCTTGCGGATTAGTTTGAAAGTCAACGCCCACAACTGAGTCCTCTCCCATTCCAAACTCTCTGAGCTAATGAGAGCAACACACACCATCCTAGAGACAGATGAGGAGATTCATTAGTTGGATGATTAGGAAAGATGGAGTAACACAAAGGAGGTCCAACACACAATGAACCCACTCAGACCAGGTATCAACATCCTTCCTGCATCAACATCAAATCACTCAGACTACATTCTGAGCTGGTCTGGGATCCATGCGGCCACGTTCCTTTTGCTGTATGAATGCAAATGTGTCCTGGGCCACATATGAAGGAGACTCCTTTTCAGCTCACGTCCTCTGACCCGCTACAGTTTCACATTGTAGAGCTTCTCAGTTTCCATGGGGTGATATGCATTTGGTCACCGCCCAAATATCAACACTGATCACAACACAATGATTTGTACTTTTATTTTCAAATGGGTGAAATCTTTCATGCTGCACATTCATTCAGACAGTCACTCCTAACTCCTCTCTTTCTTCTTCTCTGTCGCCCGGCCAAACACAAACACAACGCCATCAGACGCATCTGTGTTCTCAGACTGGGTGAAAGCACATTTATGTATGTGATTATGTGCAGATAGAGCAGGGCAGTGAGATCAGATCACAAGTGGTCACAGGAGACCCATTCAGGACACTTGTGATTTGATTTCTCAACAAATGTTAATACTTCAGTTATTAAAATAAATGAACAGCAATACTTCCAATTTTGAAATGATAATAAACCACTAACATCATTGATTTGTGCTGATTACATTAAAAGTACAAAATGATACTGTGGCCTAAATAAAAAATTCAGTAAATAAAAAAAGAGTAGCTGGATAATACTAGTCTCAAGATATGTACAGCCCAAGAGAGTAAAAAGATACATATCTGTATGCATTTGTAAGTGTGTCTGTACCTTGGTGTTAACAAGCTGGTCTCCACAGCCATTGCAAGACAGTCATAGAGGAAGGAGATTCTTTTGGGACTGTGCTGGCTGTGAATAAACCGAACTATCCACTGTACACACTGTTCATGAGACTCCTGCAGAGAGACATGGAGGGAGTTAATAAATCCAGCTAAACATTTATCATCTAATGTATAGTGTGTGTGTGTGTGTGTGTGTGTACATGCACTGACCTGTGGTAGCGTTCCCCAGTATTGTCTGAAGGCTCCAAGACAACTGATCAGTTTAGTCCTCTCATCCTCTGGAGAGTCCATACACATCCTTAACCACAACACAGTTGTTATTATTATAATCTGTAAATGTTCGATTTTACAGAAATGAATAAACTCGAAAACACACTATACATGACAATAATTGAACATTTCATTCAGGGTAACACAGACTAACACCATCCCTTCTTCCAAAAGTCAGAAACCTATTCAAATCAAATGATGAGAGCAGATCAGGAGTCATCTTACCCAGCAAAGGCCTCTTCTATCATCTCAGTTTTCTGAGAGGAGAAGACAGAAGACAACAGAGGAAATATTACACAGGAATCTCCTGAGCCCTCTCCATCTTACTTATAGAAACTAATAACCTCATTATATAACACGCTGCACTGTCTGTGGCATGTACACACACATCAGGGGTCAGAACCTGCTGCAACACAATGATGCTAGCAGAGATTGTTGTCTAATTCATCAGGAGGGAGGATTTCAGTTTGCAGTTACAAAATGTGCAATGAATGAATGAATAAGAGGTTGAAATCAGGTGTTCATTTTAATGCACTGAGTCTGGAGCCTCCATTGTTTTGAAGAATCAGCCCAACGTGATTGATGAACACGTTACAGTTCCCGCTGTTACAGTGGTAGCTAGCTGGACAACGTCACTGTTCAAACATGCGCTGGATGTTACTGATCATTTGAGTTATTTATTAGAGAAGTCATCATACGTTAACTGGGGCTAACGCTGAATGAGATGCTAACAACTAGCTCGCTTTAAAACCCGTTCATGAACGTGCACGTTACCACAACATCTTCAAAGATGCTCTGGAGCTGCGTCTCCATCGAAAGCGCCATGTTTGCGTCCAAATGAGCAAATGTCCTTTTTTATTTTAGCGAACCATTCCACAAATGACCGGTGGAATTGTCCGGTGGATTCCTCTCAACAAGCTAATGCTAACAGGCACTAGGATGAATGCGCCGAGACGTGCGCAACAGCAAAAACAACCCGGATAGACAACAAAGCCAGAAACGACACAGTTCCGCTTCATCAAATGATGAGTATGTGTATCCCCGTATTTAAAACTAGTGATAGTTATAATTTTAGTACAGATTAAATGTATCGTCATACAGTTTTCAAATGGCACGTCTATTTAAAATCTAAAGTTGTACCCAGTGGTTGCAAGCACCGGCACATGTTAACCACCAGGTGTCGCCATAATAAGAGAACATGTTTTATTGTCGCTCCCTAC